GGCCCATCTGCCACTTCTCCCCCTCCCCGCTAACACGGGGAGCCTGTCAGCACTTCCTGGGTTAGTGTGTGCAGCCCGTTTCTCCTGCAGGGCCCAGACCTCGTCGCTGGTGGACGGCAGCATGGGTGACGGTGGCAGGTCAACACGTGTCTGCCCCCGAGGCTGCTCAGACCAGTGCAGGGTCGGTGCCTGACCAGGCTGCCAAAAGCTGCTGCTTGGCTGCCTTCCTACACCCATCCCCCGCCCCCCACCGAGTTGTTTTGTGTTTTTTTTCCCAATCCAGATAAACTGGAAACATATTTATTTACCAACGAAACTTTTTGTTAAAGTGTACAATTCAACAGGCTCTTGGTATATTCAGAATTGTGCAGCCATCACCACAAACCACAATCTATTCGAGAACATCTTCCCCACCCTCAAAAGAAACCCCGCCCTTGCTACCTATTACCTTCACGTTTCCCCTCCCCACCAGCCCCCAGCAAACACTCATCTATTTCCTGGCTCTTTCTGTTCTGGATGTTTCACCAACATGGAATCGTACAACTTGGGGCCTTTTATGACCAGCCTCTCACCTACATAATGTTTCCACTGTACAAATAGCCCACTGGATGGAGGGACCACATCTTGTTTATTCAGTCGTGCACTGATGGACATTTGGGGTTTTTCTACCTTCCAGCTGTTGCGAATAGTGCCGCTGTGAACATATGTGTCCAGGTTTCTGTGTGGATCTCTGTTCCCCTTTCTCCTGGGGATGCACCTGGGGGTCATAGGTGACTCGAGGAACCGCCAGACTGCACAGCAGCGCTGGGCTTCACTCCCATTGCTGGGCTGGTTTTGAAAATGTCTTGTCCTCTCTCACTTCAGTGAGTGGAGGCTAAAGATGGGAGCTTTTGGGTGGAGGTGCCAGCACCGTCTGCCCCCCACTACCCCTCACGTGTCCTTCTGTCGGCAGCTTCCATGACGATGCCCCCAAGGACTACAGGCAGGTCTCTCTCACTGCCGTGAAGCAGCGATTCGAGGACAAGCGATATGAAGAGATCAGCCAGGAAGAGGTGCTGGTGGGTGCTAGGGAGCGGGGGTCCCCGTGGGCCCCTTGGGGCTTCGGCCCTCCCTCTGACCCCGGCTTCCCCTCAGGTGCTGAGCTACGGCCAGTTGTGTGCAACTCTAGGGGTGAAACAAGAGAGCCCAGAACCCGCGTCTTTCCTCAGCACAGGGGACATTCACACCTTCCTCAGCTCTCCCTCTGGAAGGAGAACCAAGCGGTGAGTGAACCCTGCGGGCCAGGCCTGGGTTCCCTCGTGACCTGTGCAGCCATCGGGGCTCCTGAGGAGCAGCAGGGAGAGAGCAGATCCTCAGAAAACTGAAGCTGCGGTTGGTAGTCTCCACTGCCTACAGTACCGTCTCCTTTCCCCAGTGTGGCTCTCTGGCTCCAGCCTGGCTCCCTGTGAGGGATGGTGGTCTTGAGCACAGGTTGAGCCCGCTCAGGCTCTGGCCCTGCCCCACGCCCGGTGTGAGCCATACGGGACTGCTCTGCTCCACCACATTGTGGCACTCCCTGCACTCCAGCTGTGCCCTCATTGTGTGCATCCCTTTTATCCCTGTCTCTTCCATCTCAGTGTCCCAGCTGTACTGCCTGGAATAACCTCCCCCTCCACCTCACCCACCTAAAGAACTCCTATCCATCCTACAAAGTCCAGATGAGCAGGAACCTCGCCATGGTGCTGGCCCTGTCTCTGCAAATCTGCCCTGAGCTTCTGAGGGCAGTTCCTGGGTGGCTGTGTTGTCCCTGCTCACAGCACGTGGGGGCAGGGTCAGGCAGGTGCCAAGAACCAGACTGGGCCTCCCAACACTGCTGCCTATGACCCGGCTCCCGGCTCTCCCACCGCACAGGAAACGGGAGAACAGCCTCCAGGAGGACAGGGGCAGCTTCGTCACCACGCCGACCGCAGAGCTGTCCAGCCAGGAGGAGACACTGTTGGGCAGCTTCCTGGACTGGAGCCTGGACTACTGCTCCGGCTACGAGGGCGACCAAGAGAGCGAGGGCGAGAAGGAGGGCGATGGTGAGTGCCAGGGCTGGAGACCACCCGGTGCTGCCCCAGAGGGGACAGCGGGCAGGAGGGCCCCCAGCCTGAGCTGCAGGAGAGTGTGTCCGGACACAGGTAGACATGAGAGAGCAGAGCCCCTGGAATACCAGCCCACAGGGAGGATAGGATGTGGGCCCAACCTGCGCCCAGCTCCAGCTGGACCTGTGCTGGTGGAAGGACCTCACCAGGTCAGGGACAGAGAAATAGACCTTTCTAGAAGGTTGTGTGAGATGTGCCCCCTGCTGGGCTCTGTCCCTCAGGCACCCATCTAGGGCAGGCTGCAGGAGGCTCTGTCCCCATGTCTCATCAGCCATCTGCACAGGAAGCCCAGTTCGACAGCTTCTGTTGATTTTCCAACTGCTATTTTTGTGTCCACTCAGGGGATTAACTAAATTATTAGATGGCCAGTTTGTTGTCACTTCCTACTGTCCCCTAAGTCACATTGGGTATTACCCCAAGTTTGAAAGGAGACACTTCACCCCCAATTTCTTACGTAAAGGAAAGGGGACTGTCCAGCGAGGTTCAGGATGTGCGGCCGAGAGCTGGACCCTGGGCTCCCCTGGGTCCTGACCGAGCACGGAGTCACCCTGATGCTCAGGCTATGGCCTGACCTCTCCCCCATCTCCCATAGTGACAGCTCCCAGCGGTGTCCTCGATGTCACTGTGGTCTACCTGAACCCGGAACAGCACTGCTGCCAGGAATCAAGCGATGAGGAGGCCTGCCCGGAGGAGGAGGGGCGTCAGGACACACAGGCGTCAGCACCAGGCAGCCAGACACCTTGGACCCCAGGGCTCGAGCGCTCTCTGTGCAGCAGGAGGGGGGCAGGCAAGGACATAACGACCTCAGGGTACTCCTCTGTCAGCAGCACAAGTCCCACAAACTCCGCAGATGGCTTGGGGGGCCTTGCCCGATCTACCTCAGTACTGTCCCCGGGCAGCGACTTGAACACACAGCCTTGCCACCATCACGCGAGGAAGTCGTGTGTACAGTGTCGTCCCCCAAGCCCCCCGGAGAGCTGTGCTCCCCAGCAACAGGTGAAGAGGAAAAACCTGTCTGCCCACAATGAGGAGGAGGAGGACATGAACTTGGGCTTTTTGAAGCTGTGAGTGTGTCAGTGCGTTTGCTGCAGTGAATGTTGGCTGAAGTGAATGTTTGCTGAGGCAGGGCTGCTGTTGCACTAGCAAGGGGGAGGGGGGCGCTGGAGATGGATCCCTGTAGACCCCTGGTGGCAGTCACACGGAATAGAAAGGAGAACTTGGGGCAGTAAGTTTCTTTCTCTAGGGGAGCCCACTGTGAGCCATCAGAATGTCTAAATCACAACAAAAACTCAGTTCCTTCTCTCTGGAAAGTTTAGCCTCAAAGCAATCATGCCATACTGTGTGAAGCCTATTTCTCTGTCCCCTCCCATGTTTGTCCTGCTTTCTCTGGGAAACTTAAGCCCACGTCCTGAACTTCCCAGCCCCACGGAGCCCCAGGCACCGCGGGAGCTGAGAGCTTTCACAGCTGAGAACATGTGTGACCCAGGTATCCTGGCACAGCTCACCCCCTCCCACATTTATCTGGTTCGGGGTTCCACGGGGAGCCAATAGCTCTGAGCACACCATCCCTGCGCCCACATTGGCCTGGCCTGCCCTGCCCCAGGCAGCCGTTCTTTCCTCACTGGGTGGTGGGTCCTATCGTGAGGGAACTCTGCCCCGCGGATCGTTTCGGACTGCGTGTGAATACCGGGTGAGTGGGCCCTGACATTTTTGCAGGCCAGGGCCTTGATGTCTTGGTCACAGGCTCTCTTCCTCCCATATTCTCAGCTCATTTTAGAAATCTGCCCCTTCTCCTGTGATGGTTTGTCTGTGTCCCCAACAGATGATGTCCGTATGAACATCGGAATGTCTGGGCCATTTCTTTCCCTGTCTTTATTTCCATCCTCCATCCCTCTAAGATAAAAAACAAAAGAAAAATTAAAAATAGAAGATATGAGGGCTTCCCTGGTGGCGCAGTGGCTAAGAATCCACCTGCCAATGCAGGGGACACGGGTTCGAGCCCTGGTCCGGGAAGATCTCACGTGCCTCAGAGCAACTAAGCCCGTGCGCCGTAACTACTAAGCCTGCGCTCTAGAGCCCGCGAGTCACAACTACTGAAGCCTGCGCGCCTAGAGCCTGTGCTCCACAGCAAGAGAAGCCACCACATCAAGAAGCCCGCGCACCTCAAGGAAGGGTAGCCCCCGCTCGCCGCAACTAGAGAAAAGCCCGCGCACAGCAACAAAGACCCAGCACAGCCAAAAATAAATAATAAATAAAATAAATTTTTAAAAAAACATTAAATATATAAGGTATTAATTTTTTTTAATTCTCAACATTATTTAGGCTCAACTAAAAAAAAGAAAATTCGATTCAAACCCCTCAGTGCTATCCTGACACTGTATGCAAAACCAATTTTCCCAGAGAGGTTAGCCAGAAAAAAAATTAAATGTCATTTGTAACATCTGAGGTGACCAAGATACAGAAGAGCAAGATTCAGAGGACCTGTTTGTTGGGTGAGGGTAGATCTGCTGTGAGTTCCTGAGAATAATGACCACAGGGACTTGGGATCTGACGAAGACTGACCCTGACCTCTCTCCCCTGCTGACACACTCACCCTGCTGATAGCTTTTTTTTTTTTTTTGGAAAAAAATGTTTTATTCCTCTTTGCGCAGAACAGTATATGAAGGTGGCTATCATGCTGACTCCGCACACCTCTTACACAAAAATGCTCCCTCCAGGATGCCCAGTTACCCGCCCCACTTGGAGAACTGGCAGTTAGTGGGTGGGGACAGGATGCTAAGTCTCAGGAAGGTTTCTTGTGACATTTTTGTGGGAAGTTTTGGGTCAAGGGGAGAGATGACCCAACAGTGGGTGTCCCATCCTCCGTCTTCCTGGGGAAAGCCAAATCCCAAAGGTCTTCTGAAGAAAGGCACCTCTCTCAGCGACCTAGGGAAGGGAGGCGCCCAGACCTACTGCCCGGATGTAAGGCTGAGGCAGAGGGAGGACAGGGTTAAGCAGCAGAGATCGCAGACCCAAGGCAGAGGAGTGAGGTGCATGTGGGAGAGAGAAGGGGACTGAGAGAGCCCAGAGGCCCAAGTCATAAATTCCACCCTATCCCCAGTTCTGAGCAGAAACTCTTCTTCCCAAGACTGGAATGGCATTTTAGATCAGGGACTGGCTTTGCTCCAGGGCACAGACAGGGCAAGCCAGGCAGAGCTCGCAGGGGTAGTGAAGGTGGAAAGTTAAGGTATCAGACGGAGAGACAGACACTCCCACACCGAACACTCACAGACCACAGCAGTTTTGAAGGTATAAGCCAGGATGAGGGTAAAAAATGCAGCTGTGTCTGAAATACAGAATTTTATAAGCTCTGTCCAATAATATTTAAATCACTGCTCCTTCCACTCTGTCCCCTGACTATGAGCTGTTCCCAATCTTTTTTCCAAGGCTGGAGGCCTGGCAGTAAAAAGGAATGGGAGAAAATACCAAGTCCAGCAAGCGGGGCTGTGGCTGAGACTTCATATGCCTCTCCCCACCCGCACTCCTTCTATAGAAAAGAATTCTCTCTCTCTCCCCTTGCTGGACATATGGACTGTTGGGATGAAGGCCGGGTAAAGGCAAAGGGAGGAAAACACTCAGCACATTCTTTCTCCTGCTTTGATCTGAAGTGTAGCTGCAGCAAAGGGCACAGAAGTGGAGGAGAAAATATGGGGGATAGGAGAGCATGGGAGTATAATCCAGTCGAGCAAGGAAGAGGGTGCTTCCCCTGCCCTGTGTCCAAATCTGCTAAGAGCTTTACTCCCAGGACTGCAAAAAAGAGTGAGAAGGAACGGGAAGCGTATACGGGTTTGCGAGGGGGCAACCACAGAAAGGATGGAGATTTAAGGATCCCTGTTATCCCCGAGATGACCCTGAGAGCATCATTTGTGGGGCTGGATGAGAAGTTACAGCAGACATGTGGATTTTTTGAGGGAGTGAGGAGCCAGGAACAGTGGGGTCTTCACCAAAGGAGTGACCACTTGATCTGTTCTTTGGCTGACTGCAGCACCTGAGACACGGTCTGCTCTGTAAGGGGTACATCTTCTCCCCTTAATGCCACCCAGTGTATCACTTGCTGGGGATCGCTCTCCAGGATCACCCCTCCGTCTACGATTTCATCCACAGCCAAGAAGAGCCCCTCCATGTTCTCCAGCAGAGCTCGCTTTTCTACATTTTTTCTCAGCGTCTGGCTCAAGGAGTCAAAGAGGCAATTCAGAACAGCCATGAGCATCAGCTCATTTTCACAAGAGCTGCAGATCACATAGAAATAGAGATCGATGCTGCTTTTGTATACCACTGTCAGGCCTTCCAAGAGGGCAATTTCACTGTCAGTCCGGTGGGTCTTGTTGAAAATGTTCTTCTCAAAGGCCTTTTGCTCCTTGATACTGGGGTAGGTGTCATAATAGTACTTGGCAAAAAGTCGATCTCCATCATTGTCCAGAATCAGGATGGCTTTGACAGTATACAGGGAGGGTTCCAAAATCAGCGCTTCCATTTTGCCCCGCAGCTGGTGCCGACGTGGAGCCCTGCTGAAAGCTTTTGCTTCCTCTCGAAAATGTCAGAAAGAACCACTTAGCCAGGAGTGTCCCCCAAATGCTCTTGAACCAAAACGACAGGGACAGGGAGATGCTGACTCCGTGAGGCTTTTCTGGGTGTTGATTTCCCTGTAGGAGCTCTTTTTGCTACTGTAGTAGAATTCTGACCATCCTGGGTCAGGCATGGTTGAGTAAGGGAATCCCAGCATAGGGATTGCAGACCTCCCTGTTGACTGTGTGCCCCTAGGCATGTGTGAGCCTCAGTTTCCTCATCTGTAAGATGGGGCAATAATACCTACCTCACAGGGGTGTTGTGAGGACTAAATGTGATGAGGGTAGTAGCAGCCACGTGATGTGCATGACTGAACTGCCTTCTCCCACTCCAGTGGGGACCTAGTACCACCTGACCGTGGGGTGGGGTGGGGTCTCCCTGCATCTTCTAAGCACTGACTGAAGCCCTCTTCCCTCCCCTCCTACCTCACAGAGAATCTCATTTTAGTCAGAATGCTGTCAGCCTCCCCGCACTAGGCAAGAAAACAGGCCACTACCGATGGAGGGGCCCACCCTAAGGGCAGTCCCAGGGCTGCCTAGGTCCTCACCCCCTTCTCCTTCTCTGCCTGGCACCCTCAACTCCCCTCCTTTGTGTCTCTGTCCTCTGCTGCAGCACCTTCCTATCAGCACTGTGAAACGGACACCTCGCCAACTTGAAACAACCCCTCCCAGGTTTGTCACCTGTCCTGCTCTCCCCTGAGATTTCTTGGCCCCTGAGGGGTTGGCATTCATCTGTTTTTCCTGTTATTTCCAATTACAGTGGACCCTGCTGCCCGAACCACTCCTCCCAGCCAGCATCTGTCCCTACAATCCCTCCTCGCCAGGTGTCTCCTGATTCTCTGAAGGCCCCGTTCCCCCAACCCGCAGACATTCCCTCCTGGGATAGCCTCCTGTGGTTTCTGTGACACCAGGCTCTGCTGTCCCTCCACCTCTCTGGGCTCCAGCTCCCCCTCACCTGTCCCCATCCATGCACACCTTGGACCAGCTCGCCCAGGCCCGTTGCTCCATGTGCCACATCCTTGGCTCCTGGGCTTCATTCGCCTCTGCCCAGGTGCCCACTGATGCCTCCCCTGGATGTCATCATCTCACCAACATATCCAAAAGTGAACACTCCCTCCTCCCTTGTCCCTGCTCCCAACACACATGTAATCCTCACTTCTATCGACTGCAGTAAATACCTACTGGGCCACTCCATGTGCCTTGCCCTGTGCTAGGTGGCCCGGGGTCAGCAAGGCAGCAGGGCCCTGCTTTAGAGCGCCTTCACTACAAAGACGAAGCCAACCGTTAAGCGATCACAGGTGCCACCATCTACCCGGTTATCCAACCCAGAAGCCTGCGCGTCACCCGAGGTCCTCAACCGTGTTCCCTCCGCTGCCCCCGGCCCGAGCTCAGAACCGGAGTCATGGCTTGGACCCCGGGGAAATGGGGGGCCTTGAGGCGGGATCATCATCGGGTAGGGCGGGCCCTGAACTCTGGGCTCGGAATTGGGCAGTCCGGCCGGAAGGGGCGGTCTTCTAGGCCGGAAGGGGCGGGAGTTGACGGCGGCGGCAGATCGCGAAGAATGGATACCGCCTTCACGTTGCTTGCCGGCAGCTCGCGCCGGTGGGTCCCGCGCCGCTGAAGGGGGCGGGAGGCTGCGCGGCCCGAGGCTGGCCAGGGTGCTGAGCCTCTGGTGCGTCCTTTCCAGGCTAGTGGCCGAGCTGCGTGACGCCCTGGACTCCTGCGCCGAGCGACAGCGGCAGCTGGAGCGGAGCCTGCGAGTCTCCCGGCGGCTGCTGCGTGCCTGGTACGCGGACCCCGGGACCACCCGGCTAGGCCTCCCTCGGGCCGTCAGAACCCCGCTTAGCGACTCCGGGCCGGGAGGCCCGGCCCAGCTCTCACTTCGGAGTTGCGGGTTGTCAGTGCTCCCCGCTTTTTCTGCAGGCTCTGAGACTGCGGGTCTGCCCCTAGGCCAGGCGGCCTTGGGGGCCTGTTGGGCCCTGGCCGTGCCACGGCTGCCTTGTGTCTTCACAGGGAACCAGCCGAGACCCTGGCTCCGGAGCCAACCCCAGGGCCAGAAACTAATGAAGAGGCCCCATCTGCAGGTAAACCTCAGCCATCTACCTTCTCCAGGTGCCACCTCTGGCCTGTCTTCAGACATGAAGTGGTGAGGGACCTCTACATGACTCTTGGTTTTTGCAGCATGCATACCCAGCCCGCAAGACCTCAAGGAGCTGGAGCTTCTGACCCAGGCACTGGAGAAGGCTGTACGGGTGCGAAAAGGCATATCAAAGGCTGGAGAAGGAAACAAGGCCCCCAGCCTGAAGTCTGGATCCATTGCCACTTCCCCTGCCACCAGAGCCTCTTACCCACCCAGCACCTCACACAGGGCTGGCAGCCGTGCATCAGAGACAAAACCTCCCAGGGGCATCCTCCAAACCAGGGTGCCTACCAAGGACCTCCCTGAGCGCAGGCTTCTGTCAGTGGGGGATCAGGCCTGTATGGGGCAAGGGGCTGGAGCCACCAAGCCTAAATCAGGCCTCAGGAACAAACAAATAGTCCTGTCGGCTGCTTCTCAGGCCCCAGAAGCTTTTACACTCAAGGATAAGGGGTAGGTTTCCCAGACCCTCACTAGAGGAACTACTGTCTCTACCTGATCAGATCCTGGGCAGCAGCAGGAGTCTGGGTTTGGGGTGACAGGGAGGGCAGGGCATTGAGCTGGATGTGGGCCAGGGGAACCCCAGGATGCCACCCCATGAGGGGTGGCAAGCCCAGAAGCTGGCAGAGTGGAACAGCTGGCTGTGAAGGTGCCATGTTTGATGCACTGGGGCGTGACCTGTGCCCTATCCACTTATCCACCCAGCCCCAGGGCTCCACATGAGCTCTCGAAGGCCTGGGCTCTGCTTTCTCTTCTCTCTGCCAGGTGGTACCTGGACTGGGCTGGCTCCTGTGGTCACCCTGGAAGCCCTGTCTGAGGGGTGGGTGAGCTTCATCTCTCACTGGGCTCTGAGTAGGGAGTGGGGCCTACAGCCCCCAGAGTGAGACAGAGCTGCTCTGAGCACCGGCTTCCCTGACAGGATCCTGCTGCAGCTGCCTGAGGCCTTCAGGAAAGCGGCTTCCCGGAATTCCCGGTGAGGCTGAGTCTTGTGGCTGGGTGAAGGGGGAGGGGAGACCAGGGGAGTGTGGAGAGCAGGGAGGCTGAGGCTTCCCACTGGTAAGACTTCCCACGGGTCCCTTGGCTTTCTTTGCTGGGTGGTGACACTCCACATTAGGAGAGTCAGCCTCCCTAGGACGGCTGTAGTCACCTTAGACTCAGCCAGCAGCTTCTGAGGCCCCAAGGCACTTAGTGTCTCCAAGTCCCCATTTGTCTTCCTTGTGAAGATGACAATAATAGTACCAGCTTCTAGAGGTGTTGTAGGGGTTAAACGAGGTGGTGGCTTTTCGGGTGCTTGTGCTGTGCCTGGCACAGAGCCAGCATCCAAAGCTCTTACCAGACATTTTGGTCACCAGGCACTGCTGGCTCCTCTCCCCTTTTCCTTGAATTCTCTCCTAGCATTTCCCAGAGTGGGTCAGCTCTGTCCCCTTTTCATGGACAGTGTCCCCCTCGGTTCCCCAGGACACCCAAAGGCCCCTCCTGACATTCAGAAGAGCCAGACACCCCAGGCTGGGGCTGCTACCCTGGCCCTTGCCTACTTCTCGTGGCCCAGCCCAGCTGGCTGTAGTAACCACGTTGCTTTCTGGTTTGTGGGCTGTGCATGTGTGTATCCCAGCCTGTGGGCCCAGCTCAGCTCTACACAGACCAGTGATTCTGTGGATGCTGCTACCACCGCCAAAACGCAGTTCCTCCAGAAAATGCAGACAACTGTATCCTTGCGGGGCTTGGGGGAGTGAGGGGTGGGGGGCAGAGGTTCTGGCTCTAAACCTGGCGAGTCTGAGGAGGAACAACTCCAGGAAGGGCCAGAGCTACTCCAGGACCCAGCCCTTGGGGAAAGCGGAGGGGCCTGACCACAGGGGACTTTCCATGACCCGCATGCAGTCAGGCTGGCCTGGCCCCAGGCTCAGTGCCACCGAGGTGGAGGCAGAGGTGCGGCACCTGCAGAAGGCCTGCTTGCTGCTAAGACTTCGAATGGGGGAAGAGCTCACGGCAGGTTAGTGGGCCCTCAGTTGCGTCTCTGGTCAGGGTGGGGAAGGCTTCAGGACCGGCGTGGACCTGGCCTGCTCCCCCTGGCTCTCGTGTAGACCCCAAGGACTGGATGCAGGAGTACCGCTGCCTGCTCACCTTGGAGGAGCTGCAGGCCATCGTGGGGCAGTGTCTCCACAGGCTGCGGGAGCTATGCACAGGTGAGGCCTGCCCCGCCCGTGCTGAAGTCTGGGGTCAAAATCCTCTAGCCACGGGGTGGTGTTGGGACTTTAACAGCAGCTTGGGAACGGAGGCAGGCGGGCAGGACGGCCCTTCCCTGTGTCACCCCACTGCATTCTGAGTTCTCTGCAGTTGTGCTGTGGAGCTGGCCAGCACAGCACCCCTGCTCCAATTTCTCTCCCGACACACAGACCCTACCACTCCGAGTAGCTTACTTATTTATCCAGTTATTGAAAAAGTGCCTTGTGACAATCAGAGAGGTACTGGCAGATGCCTGGTATTGCAAGAGTTAGTTGTTTATGGACAATAGGGCTTCATACAGGAGGCAAGGGGAGACTTTGCACCCCCTTAAAGGGGCCTGGGGAGGAGGTGCCTGGCTTGTGCCCTGTGAGGCCATATCCCCTGTCCTCGCAACAGTGGTGGAACAGCAGCTGGGGCCGTGGCCTGAGGGGAGGTTCCCCAGGGCCTCCTTGCCCTGTGGAGGAGGAGCAGACCCTATCTGGAGCCCCCAGTTGCTTCTCTACTCTAGTACCCAGGAGCTGCAGACCCTGGCGGCCGTCAGGCTGCGGGTGGCCATGCTGCACCAGCAGATCCACCTGGAAAAGGTACTTCTAGAGTAGGGAGTGGGTGACTGAGTGTCGGGGAGCCGTGGGCCCTGGGGAGGACTCTAGGTCTGGAGCCTCATGAGGGCTTGGCCTTAAGAGCCTATCTGTGCTCCTCCCACCAAGACCCACCAGGGAAGGGTGGGAGCTGCTGGGCCTGTGCCCCTGTGAGGGTGCTGGAGCTTCTGGAGGAGGGATGGGCTGGGGCATGGTGCCTCAAAGCCGGCCCTGGTTTGAGCCCTCCTCTGGGGGCCCTGGGCCAGCTGGGACAGGGCCCCCTTGAGACCTTGGTCTTGCACCACCCACCAGGTCCTGATGGCCGAACTCCTCCCCCTGGTGAGCAAGCAGGAGCCGCTGGGGCCACCCTGGCTAGCGCTGTGCCGGGCTGTCCACAGCCTGCTCTGTGAGGGAGGCCAGCGCTTCCTCACCATCCTACGAGAAGATAAGCCTGCTGACTGAGCCCTTCCCATGGCCAGGCCCACCCCCAGTCCCCCAGAACCCTGCAGCAAAGGCAGGCTGGCTCTGCCTCTAGCCTGACTGTCGGTGAGAGCCCCCCTTCCCTAGGAGGAATCAAATGAATGGGCATTGAGGGGACTTTCACTGGTACAGTGAGCCAGGGGCCCAGAGATGCCTGTACCCGCTTAGGAAACCAGGTTTCCAAGGGGCGGGGACTGCCCCCTGGCTCTTCCTGAGGAACTTAGGGCCTTTCTAATGGCTGCTAAAGCTGCTGGTCAGGGCTCAGCTTGGCTTGGCTTTCCACAGGCTCAGGAGACCTGAGACTGGTGGGGGCTTTTCTTAGCTACTTCTGTTTTCTCTTGCTGTACACTTAAAAGCTACTTGTGTGACATTAAAACTACTTTAGAAAGTTTATATATTTAAATCATACCAAGGTGCGACTTGGTGCATGTTTGTTTTCTTCTTTGTGTTTATTATATACCAAGAATATATCAAGTATATTTACCAAGAATAGGCATATCCCTTGTGTACTGAAGGGAGGGGGCAAAGCCACTCAAGGTGGGCTGCCCTGGGGACTTGCCTCATGCACTGGCCCTAGCATACCTGAAACCTCTCCCCACGAGTGCCTACATTTGTACGGGGCTTATCAAAAGACAAAAAAGCCACAAGCCAGTATTGCAGTGGACGTCCACTGTCTGCCCACAGCCATCTTTCCTGGCACCCATGCCCACCACCTGCTCCTGTGCCATTGCTGTGGCTTACGTGGGCCCCCCAGACTGAGTCCACCCCTCCCCTGCTCCACTGTCACTTCCAAGGCTCCTACCTCCCCTGTTGAAGGAGGCACTGTTTCTTGGAAGGCAAGAAAGTGTAGAGGTCAAGGTCACAGCTTCTGGGTTTACAGGTCACACATCTTGGGTTTACATCATGACTTGTTTGCTGCTCTGGGACTTCCAGCAAGATTCTTGAAGACTCTGAGCCTCAGTTCCCAGTGTTGTCCCCACTGTCATACTG